ATCTGGAGTCCACTATATTTTATTCTCCTGAACCTTATTACCTTAAGCTCTGGTAGCCAGTTAAACAATTTGTGTAAGGCAAATTGCATCTCCCATTTTGCATGTTGTTTTTCCACCACTGTTAGACAAGATGCTGGCTGTTCCATAATGCGTCATTCTGGAGATGATTTCCAAAGAGCATATTGTACAGAATTACAATAATAACATGCCGAATAAGAACATGCTAGTCTGTACATGTCCACATGGGTTCAAAACATATTTATATTCAAGACTTGCCAAGTTTGAGATTGTGTACTCAGGTTCACCCATTGAGATTGCAACAGTTCTTACTGAGGCAGGACAAACAACGCTGGGTTGCTTCAAACTTTGGGCACTGAGCCAGACACCTGTGAAGCACTAAAGGTAGAACGATATATAAAATGTTCACTGAAGGCATTTTTTTTAAAAAACACCTAAAATTAACAGCTTTTAGCACATTAATAACATGGAAATGTTATTCCTGAAAATGAATGAGAACACTTTTGGTGCAAAAGAAGTTGGTGATAAGAACAACATTTGGTGTCAGCCTAGCTCAGTTGGTAGCACGCTTGCATCAGAGTCAGAAGATTGTGAGTTCAAGCTGCACATCAAGATTTGAGATCATACTCAAGGCTGACACTCCTATTCAGTGCTGAACAAATGCTACTTTGTCGACTGTAATATCCTTTGGATGAGCTGTTAAACCAAGGCCCTTTATGTCAATGACCATGCCTTCGGTCATCTTCTCCACCCCAACTCCAGTTGTCCCCTCGGACCTAACCCTTCCTGAATTCAACTCCCAGATCGGGTACAAACCTCAACTTTCCAGTGCCTTGGGACATCCTCACAATGTAAAAGGCACTATATATAAATGCAATTTGTTGTTTTTAGGTGGACATTAAACAACCCATAGCACTATTTTTAAAAAATTGAATTACTTCTGGTGTCCTCACCAGCAAATCTGTAAAATTTGTAATTCACTTCAAATTAGCTGCCGTGTTGGTCTACAAGTCACCAAACTTTACATTAAAACCTGTGAAGCACATTGAAACATTTTGAAGGCACGGTATCAAATGCAATAATTATTATAATATACCTTGGAAACCTTTTTAAAAAGAATAGTACAAAGAGATGGTAAACACATGGTTGCTTGGAATATTTCTTTGCAGCTCAAAGACAGAAAATAAATTATTCATATCTTGTTGGTGGGTTGATACAGTATTTTCAGTCAATGTAACAACAGAGAAATCATTGTTCATGAGGTTGGTTACCTTTCATGGACAATCTTACCAGAATATACAAAGATGACAAGTTGGAGAGATCTTTTTCAAAGAGGAATTCAGGGGAAACATGATTTTATCACTTCAAAAATCCCCAAGGACTCAGGAAACACAATGGTTGAAATACAAGTCATACTTCCATCCACGTTTATTTATTCTTCCAATATAGGCAAGCAGTTTTTAACCAAATTACCAATGAAGTCCAAAATATTAATCTTCAATGGTACACTTAATCTTTAAAATGTGTAATGGGTGCTGTATCACTAAAATATATTTAAGCCTACAGTAGTACAAAGGTAAAAACATACTATCACACACTGAAGAGATGCTCCATTTTCAACTCATGTCAAATATGATACTGTTCCTGAATTTAACAAGCTTCATACAAGTAAACTCAATATGCCCAATGGCTCATATTATAGAAAATGATGGGCCTCACAGCTTCTACTGTATTACCTCAGAACATTCACAAATCCAGTCCCCAACACACTCAAAAGATTTTTTTTTCCTAGACCTGTTAATATTTGAAAGCAATTCCATTACTAAAAACTAACCGAGTATAATTAATTTCATGCTATTCAGCATTTCGGTATGCTATACAACTAAAATAAACAATAAGAGCAAAAAATGACTTAAAATGACTGAAAGTAAATGTGGTCAAACATAAGAGTGGAGGCATTACTGCCAAATAGCTTACAAGCCAAAGCCAGCCGATCATTCCCACACTCAGCTAAATCAATCCTCAGCCCAGTTATTCACCAGCATAGAGCAGCGTTGCACACTGTAAACCAGGTTTCTCTTCAACGAATAGATTTAATGGGTGTAAATGTTTAACTTTTGTGATCTCCAGCACTTTACTGTACACGTACAGTATACGGAACGCACTTAAAATTGTGAAAAGGCATCAAATAATGACCACAGTATCTTTAATGGTATACGTTTATAAAATGTTTAACTGTATCGTAACGCCACCTATACTCTGCGTTCGTAATATAATAAAATGCGTTTTAAATGTAAGCGTTGGGACTGGGTTGGGGGTGGGGGGGGGGGGGTGTGGGGGGTGTGGTGTGGAAGACACCAGCTTGCAAACGATCAAGTTCCGAAGTATTGAGTGAATCCAGCAGATCAGATGCATTGATCCCCGATTGCACAACCAGCCTCCCACATCAGGCCCCCTCCCTCACGATCTCTGGGGGTCTCCCAAGCGAGTAACAGACGCCACCATTTGAAAACAAAACACACCTCGAAGAGGGAAGGAAACCAGATGAAGAGAACCCTAAAGAAAAAGGCATTTGGAGGGGGGGGGGGGTGGGGGGAAACCACGGAAACTTAAAAGGAAAGATTCCCAGACCGGGAATCTTAGCGATAATTTGTTTTTTTTAAAAAAAATAAAGCCATAAAGCACGAAAGGGGGGAAAAAAAACCGTCTCTGGTTAGATCAATAATCAGTTTTAAAAGACTGGATCTGCTTCTAAATCTGGATTGTTTACTAATCCAAGAAATCCACAATATACCCCAATGAAACAAAGTTACAAGTTGTTTGTAAATACATATAAATCCCGATCATTATTTTCTTTGAAAAAAAATCTAACATATAAGCAGTGTGTTCCAGCCTCTTGTCTCTCCATTAATAAAACTCGAAAGGAAATCCTGAAAAATCGGGACGACAAATTAAAAAAACCACGATAAAAAGGAATAAAATAATTCGCAATTCTCTCGGATCTGTGTGTCTTCATTGGCTTGTTTTTTTTTTTGGGGGGGGGGGGGGGTTGTGGTTGGTTGTGGGGGTAAAAAAAAATCCACTTCTTAAATAAAAAGACTGCGGAATGCAAATAAATCGTCTCCTCACTCCAAGGGATTTCCAAAGGAAGGAGCAAGAAAATCCCAACTAAATGAAATAGCCCTGGCCCCAATGTCCCCCCCCACCACCACCCACCCCGACTCTCTGGCGACAGTAAGTAACCAATGTGAATTCGCTTGAAACCGATCACAATTTGGCAAACAACAAAAAAACGCCATTTACGAAACAAAAACAAATACAATCTGCAAATGAAGATAGGAGCCCATCAGCTGAAAACCCGCTCCCCATTCACGCGGCCAAAAGAACAAGAGCAGGTCGTTTAAACGGACCATTTCAAGTTGTTAACCTCAGTCGTTTTAAACAAGAAACCCCCCCCCCCCCCCACACCCCCCCCCATATAATACACACACAAACACCACGAGAGATCTTCAAACCCAACCCGTCCCAAGACAGAAAGTCTGGATCTCTTTCAGACCCACTCTGATCTCGACGACTCTTTGTTTTTTGTGGTGGTGGTGGATTTAAGTTTTTTTTAATATATATATATATGTTATTCGGTCGGATTTCCAAATCGCCGATAAACCTGGAGCTTTCAACAGGCGGCGGAGTTTTTCTTTTGGGGGGGGGGCGGAGATGTGATTTATTCTGCTTTTGTTTTCTTCCAGACGCCAGAAACTGACACATAAAAGACCCCCCACAACCCCCCCCACCACCTCTCTAAATAATAATAAATCAATAACAATGTTTGGGTTTTTCTTTAGATATACTCTGAAGATCTACTCTGTGTGTGTGTGTGTGGGGGGGGGGGGAGATCTTCTCTGTGTGTGGGGGGAGATCTTCTCTGTGTGTGGGGGGGGAGATCTTCTCTGTGTGTGGGGGGGGAGATCTTCTCTGTGTGTGGGGGGGGGAGATCTTCTCTGTGTGTTGTGGGGGGGGAGATCTACTCTCGGTGTGTGTGTGTGGGAGATCTACTCTGTGTGTGGGGGGGAGATCTACTCTGTGTGTGTGGGGGGGAGATCTACTATGTGTGTGTGTGGGGGGGCGGAGATCTACTCTGTGTGGGTGTGTGGGGGGAGATCTACTCTGTGTGTGTGGGGGGGAGATCTACTCTGTGTGTGTGTGGGGGAGATCTACTCTGTGTGTGTGGGGGGGGAGATCTACTCTGTGTGGGGGGGATCTACTCTGTGTGTGTGTGTGTGGGGGCGGAGATCTACTCTGTGTGTGTGTGTGGGGGGGAGATCTACTCTGTGTGTGTGTGGGGGGGGAGATCTACTCTGTGTGTGTGTGGGGGGGGAGATCTACTCTGTGTGTGTGGGGGGGAGATCTACTCTGTGTGTGTGGGGGGGGAGATCTACTCTGTGTGTGTGTGGGGGGGAGATCTACTCTGTGTGTGTGTGTGGGGGGGGGAGATCTACTCTGTGTGTGTGTGTGTGGGGGGGAGATCTAATCTGTGTGTGTGTGTGGGGGGGATATACTCTGTGTGGGGGGGGGGAGATATCCTGTGTGTGTGGGGGGGGGGAATCATTCATTCAAAACAAAACAAATCCAAACAAATTTTCTTCCAAAGCAACACACGATCGGAGGGGTTTGATTTGGTTTTCGACAGCGGCAAAAAGCCGGAGAGAGAGAGAGAGAGAGAGAGTCCGAGACAAAGTGAGGTACAAACCGCCCGGGGTGGGGGGGGGGGGTGTGTGGGTGTGTGTGGGGGGGGGATTGCCTTGGAGAGAGGGAGAAAAAAAAACGACTGGAAACTCAATTAAAACTCTTCGCACAGAGCGAGAGAGAGAGAGAGTGTGTGGGGGGGGGGGGGGGGGTCGGGTGGGGGAGAAGCCAAATAAATAAATAAATAAGTAATCGTTTCATCTTCACGAAATAAACCGGTGGATCGTGTCCGTACTCACCGCGCTCGGCCGCCTCAGGTCTCCCTCAGCTCGATGCATAATGTCCGGCTCCGGGAGGGGGGTGGGAGGGGGGGGGGGGGGGGGTCCTTGTGCTCTCCCTGTGCTCCGACGATGCCCTCGATCCCAAACCCCCGGGAGCGAACCCGAGTGAGGAGGAGGTGGTGGTTGGTGGTGGGGGGTTGTGGGGGGGGGGGTTGTGGGGGGCAAAACCCAACGGTCAAAACCCAACGGTCAAACCCGGTCCCGTCCAAGATCACCTCTCGCTCCCCTCACGCCGAACAGGACACAAGAAACAGGGACGAGCTTTCGCCGCCCCCTCCTCCCCCCCCACTCCCTGAAAAAAAAACACCCCCTTCCACAGCAACTCTACCGCTTTCTCGGAGCTGCTTCTTTTTTTTTTGTGGGGGGGGGAAAAAAAATTCGTTTGTATTTTAATCAATAAAGCTGCTGCTGCTGCTGGTGGTGGTGGTGGTGGTGGTTGAGGGGTTCGTTCCCCCTCTCTCTCTCTCTCTCTCTCCCTCCTCACCTCACCTTCCTTCCTTTCTTTCTTTTTTCTTTTTCTTTCTGTCTCTCTCTCTCTCTCTCTCTCTGTCTCTGTCAGTCCGTCCGTCCGTCAATCTCAATCGGCGCGCGCTGACGCCTCTCACCGCCCGCACCAGTCTACCGCCTCTCGTACTCTGAGCCACAGCCACTTAACACACTTTCCACGGACTCTCTCTCTCTCTCTCTGTGTGTCTCTCTCTCTCGCGCGCGCGCGCCCGCGCTCTCACTCTCCACTCCACTCCACTCTCTCGCGCTCCCACCGCGGTCGTCGGCACAGCCGAACGCACAGCCGAACGCCGGACCGCCCCCGCTCGGCAATCTTCGGAAAGCGCCCGACCCTGACTTCGGGGCAGCGCTCGGGTGTTCTCTCTCTCCCCCCCCCCCCCACCCCGGAAAGGCTGGGACCCGAGGCGCGCAGGCGCACAGGCCACCCCCATGGGCAGGGAGTGAGTGATGGATGAGTGAGTGAGTGATGAGTGAGTGAGTGAGTGATGGATGAGTGAGTGATGAGTGAGTGAGTGATGGATGAGTGAGTGAGTGAGTGATGGATGAGTGAGTGAGTGAGTGAGTGAGAAGCAGTAGGCAATGTGTTGCTGCTCGAGAAAAAGTATACATGCAACACCCCCCCCAACCCCACCCACCACCTATAATAATAATAATAATAATAATAATCCTTGCATTTGATATAGCGCTTTTCACGTCGGGAGGACGTCCCAAAGCGCTTCACAGAACACACTGTAAAGTGAATTGACTGTATATTTGTGGGCGAACGCGGCAGCCAATTGCGCACAGCAATGTCCCACAAACAGTCGTAGATTGAAAATGACCAATTTTTATTATTGTTTTGGGTTTTGGAGGGATTATTATTAGGCTCTGTGTGGAGTAAGGAAACTTGCCCAAGGTTTCGCCCTCTGCCTGGAATTGAACTCAGGTCACCTACTAATAAAAGTGTTGCAAACGTTTGCACAGTGCACAGTGCAGCTCTTTTGCTCGCTGACCGAAATGCTACCGTGCGGCCTCTTTACAGACTTTCTTTTTGTTTCGTATTCGAGTACTCGATTCATCGTTGCCACCCGCAGTCCCGCCAAGTTGGCCGCGTCTGAACGTCCTGGCCACCAACGGTTCAGGGAGGAAAGGGAACCGCGCCCCCTCTGGAAGAGGCGCTCTTGAGACGTCTTCCCCGAACGCAAAAGGTGCTTACGTTAAATGCAGGGAGTATTATTATGATGATGATGATGATAGCTGGAGGGTAAGGTGGACTCAACAGCTCAGATAATAATATATCTGCAAACACTTTCATCAGGTGGTCACGATGAACATATATGAGCTGCCAGCAATTTCATATTAATGGTCAAAATTCTGGGACCTGTAATATTACATACTGGAAGTCTTGGAGTCCTGTAGCTCAGTGGTTAGAGCACTCGCTTTGCAAGCGAGAGACCTGGGTTCAATTCCAGGCAGAGGGCGAAACCTTGGGCAAGTTTCCTTACTCCACTCAGAGCCTAATAATAATCCCTCCAAAAACCCAAAACAATAATAAATTGGTCATTTTCAATCTTCGACTGTTTGTGGGACATTGCTGTGCGCAATTGGCTGCCGCAGTCGCCCACAAATATACAGTCAATTCACTTTACGGTGTGTTCTGTGAAGCGCTTTGGGACGTCCTCCCGACGTGAAAAGCGCTATATCAAATGCAAGGATTATTATTATTATACAGCATTGCACACTTTAGTTTCGCAACATGGATATAATGTCTGTAATACAATTGATACAATGTTGAATATTTACAAAACAAAAACATGTTTACAAAACAAATTTGCAACCTGACCACCACTTTCTGAAAATGATTCTCTTGTTTGGATATTTTTTGTGTCATTTAAATGGAAATAATAAATAACTGGTCATGAAACATTCAAGACAGAATTTACTTTGTGCTCAACCAAACAATATAAGTGCAATATTTTCAGGCTGAACATGGGACAAGTGTGATAGGCTTTGTATTACATCGGCAGCCAAGTTAGACCGGTTGGATTACGAAGAATGATAAATCAACTCAAGGATTTTCTTAACTTTTCTGAAAGCTCCATGTTGCCTGGTCCTCCTCCACAACTCAAGTCTTCCCCAATGTATGTCAATTCAATTCAATGTTCCCAAATCCTCTTCCTGGATCTCCCTCCTTAGGACTTCTTTCTGCACCCAGCATTTTGCAATTTTGTGAACATTGAAGCTTCATGTTTTCGTTCAAGTTGTCGAATGGAGATTCTCAATCAATGTAAATGCTATATCTTTTGAAGCAACAAATTGAGGACAATTTATGACTGAATTCCATAGCTTGATTGGGAATTGCCTTTGCAACCTCTTCAGGAGAACTAGCTTGATCCAGCCCTTAAACAGCCTGTGAGAAAATTCCTGGATTTCATTGGATAGGCTTGTTTTTTTAAAAAAAAACACAGCAAAAATAAACTGATGCATCAGAGGTTCACTCTATAGAGAGGAACACGCTTGTGCATTGTTAATTATGTCCAAAGCAAATCATAATCACTTCTATTGCGCACAAAGCATGCTCAAATAATGGAGAAACTCTAGAGATGCATTCACTGTAAAGCAGAGACTAGGGATATCAATGGAGAACATTTTTGTCAACAATTTTAAGCTGATGTTTTCATTAATTGGCTCTGTGGGCAGGTCATTATCAATTTTCTTGTGCAAAATGGGTCATGTGGCATCTGGGGACCCTGAAGGAATGATCTGTTTCTGTCTTCTATGATTTTATAAAATATTAACATAGTTTATCTTGTTATCTATGTCTCGGCCACAACCGTTAAGACATGGGCCTTCTTTTTGAGAATTCTTTGACAATATGTTACAGTTCTATTCAAATTTGGTGCCACTTTATGGAACTAAAGGACGACTGTGTGCCACCATGAAGAGCTCAATCTGGATTTGAGTCTGGATGAAAAGAATTTTGCAACTTAGTATGTAAAGCACCAGGAACCCCACTGATTTGATTGACAAGACTCAAATTAGTTCGGCAATCTCATATTGCAATGAGGAGAATTTGGGATACTCAGCACCAGTCTTCTGAAAGGCATTTTAGCGCTAGGCTTGAAATCCTCTTCCAACACATTTTGTAACACTTTTACCATTGTTGTATATAAATATGAGTGGACCGGTTTGGTACATCATTTTGATAGAATACAGAGTGATAGGATGTAGACATGCTCTCCAATTCCTGATCTTGGCCAAGCAAAACAAGGAGACTGGATGCTACAAAGAATTGATGATCATACTTACATAAATCAATCATTTCCATTTGTTTGATCTTAGTTAAATCCACAGTTACAATAATAGTCCTTGCATTTGATATAGCGCCTTTCATATTGGGAAGATGTCTGTAAGCTGTAGCGATTGTGTTGTAATTGACAGTGAGTCAGCTATCCAAAAGTACATAGTTATTGACTCAGATTCACTTCCGATTATATCCAAAATTGCGTTTAAATCTGATTGAATAATGCCATAATTATTAAACTATCAGATATTGCTGAACATAAAGCTCTAATTCGGTGCAGGGCGAAACCTTAGGCACATTTCCACACACACGCCTCTGTTTACCCAGCAGTAAACAGCAACCAGCTTGTTAGTCAATTGGCGGATCGCTTTACGGGAGGTAATAATCCTTTCAAAATAATAATAATTTGGGTACTCAATCCACGACTGTTTGTGGACACTGTGTGCGCAATTGGCTGCTGCATTTCCCCCACAAAATGTAGTCAATTCAATTTACAGTATATTCTGTAAAGCACTTTGAGAGGTCTCAAAGACATGATAAGGCGCTGTATCAAATGCAAGGATTATTTACTATATATTATTATTCTAATATACGTCGAGTATCATTCAAGCATGGTTAAGAACTCAAGCAAAATGAAATGTTTAAACATCTCCTACGAGAGACATGAAGGCAAGAACCTCTCTCGTCCCTCATGGAATGATTACAGTATGACTCAAGGCCAATGTTTTGGACAAATAAAAAAAAAGGCAGTCTATTTTCCGCTATACTACTTCAGTCTCAAGACAGCAGATGTTAATAATATGATATGACCTGTTGTCCATCCAAAACACCTACAAAACTGGATTCTATGCCCCAAGGTCTGTAGGAATGGTAACAGTGAATTTCCTGATCATCATCTCAGCAACAATCACACTGAACCACAGTCTGGATGTTAGGTACAAATTGATCTTTCTGAATCCATAACAAGAGCTTCACTAACATTTGTAATAAATGTACCAAATGCTTTTGGAGTCTGTGGAGTTCCCATAGTGTTGGGCTGAGTTGTTTCCATAGCTACTAAATCCCTCCCTTATGCTTTTTTTTAAAAGACGCTTGTGAAAAAAACAACTGCAAAATCCAAAGCTTTTAAACGGTAATGCAATGCTTTCTATAAATTACTCGTGGAACACACATTTTACTGGCAATAAAGCACAGCAAATGGTTGAAATTATGCAGCTAATA